AGCTTGCTTCTGAACAACTTTCGAAGGACGGAGCATTAAAAAATACTTTTGGCGATGGTTGCTGTTAGCATTTGCGACCAGTTGAGCTATGTCCGGGTACTTCTGCCTATTAGGGAATGGGTAGGGAAGAAGGGGGGGAGGGGGCGGGGGGTCGACGACCGATGTGTAAAACGAGGTTCCCTAAATGTGTGCCTTGCTGGAAGAATTCCCTTCTGTTTAGACTGTTTTGTGTTGGGCTTGGTACCCTTTTGCTGAGTTTCATTCGCGGGTAGTTTCGATGGTGCCTGTAAAATATAATGATCGTCCTGTCACCTGTAACAGTAAGGTTGCTGTTGTGCGCTGTTCCACTGACAGTTTGGCGGTGCATCCCTCGCCGGAATTCTGTTATCGGGGAACCGAATAATGGGTGGTTCGCATGTATGCTTTGGTTCTCCAGCTTACAGGAATGCGGTAAATGAGTGTGCTGGCCCGGAAGGTGCAGCTGGTTGTTGCGCACGCTCGTTGAAATTGTTTGCAGCAGTGATGGATGGCCCAGTCGAGCGTACCTGGCTGGACTCGTCTCACTGTGACGGGGTTGCATCGCAAAATGAAGACGACCACGTGAGTTTACGTGCATCTACAAAAGGCGGGACAAAGCAGTCAGCTCCCAAGAGGCCCTTGTTGAAGTATCCGGGACGAAGCACAGATGTTTACAGTACGTAAACTTTGAAAATACCGAAATGTCTTCTCGGAAACCCACAGTCGGGGTTCGAATTTTCTTCCAACGGGGAGCTCTAAAATGCAAGTCGTTTTGGCCCTAAAAAGTTGCCGCTGGATATTGGCAAGCAACAGTCATTAAGGGGCTAATAAAACAGTCATGCTCAACGATTACGAGATTATGTGAATTTGAAGATGAAGATATTGGTGGCAACAGATCTGCACATCGGCTATGCCGAGAAAACCCTTAATCGAGACATGGATTCGATCCGAACTTTCGAAGAAGTGCTACAGATCGCCACTCGCGAAAATGTCGATTTCGTCCTACTCGGTAAAGAAAATGTTTTTGCCGTTCTTATCCTCTTGCAGCCACAACTTATTTTTCAGTTATAATGACCGGTAAGAATGTACACGATTTCAAGGACCGAAACA